ATCCGCACATGAAGTCATGAAAGTCAGATCCCGGTGTTTTTTTCATCTGGCGGGCCATGTTAAGGCTGAGAAGACGGACAAAATCACATCTAGCAATACAGGAGCAAGACTTCAATCAGAGCGTCCTGCCTCTCGGTACACTTGTAAGGCGTCTTCGTTCTTGTCCATGTCTCGGTAAGCCTCACAATGTCAAGTCTGCACGGCTTCGAAGTCCGACACCGACAACATGCTTCGTCACTGCTGAGCTTCAATCCAAGGCTTGGTGGTTCATGAACGTCAACGTCTTCGCATGTAGAGGACCATGCTGCTGGACCAACTGCCTCAAGCAAATTCGGCAAACGACGCAACAGCAAGGTGCGCACCGTCTCCTTTTCAGACGAAACGTGCCGAGGCGACTTGACTTGAGTCTCAATGTCAACGGGAGTTTTGGATTCCTCCCTCGCCTGACTCCGCCACACGTGGAGACACAGGAGTGAGCTCACTTCCCGACTTAAAAACGTTGTGGTGCGACTGGCGCCAGTGAGCGCACAGCCTGCAAGCGAACATCTTTTGCCAAAGTTCTGGATTTCCGCCTGGGGCCACAGCTCTGAAAATGTGGTCGCACAACTAACTGCACACGTTTAGACGCAGATCGTTCACTTCCAAGGCCGGATCCCACCAAAGATAGATCTTCGCTGCATGTAGACTCACGGCGCTGGGACAACAAAGCCTCGGCATCGGCTGACAATCTCGCGTTGATCTGATTCTTGATCTCACCACTCACTTTACCACTTGTTATGCATGGGGGCGGAGTTTGTCTCAGTTGTAGGCTGCTCTGCACAGCCACACCGCTGCGGATTTCAGGAATGCCTCTAGCAGCGTGACCCAACAAGCCTTCAACGTTGTTTGTTCAAACTTTGACACGAGTCAAAGACACACCAAGCTGCCAGCTCTTTGGCATGTGTCATTAGCATCGAGGGGCACTGCTACCCCTCCTCCAGAAGACCCAAGCTGCCCAACGGCTGCGGACGCGACTCGTTGTCAAGCACGCAAGCTTTCTCTTTCATTACCTACGTGCAGGCCAGCTCCTTACCGACAGCAAGATCTTGCTCATAGCACAGTTGACTCTAAGCAGCACCAGAACCGACATTTCGCTGGATCATCTCGCATCTTCCAGGTTCCCTTCGCCGGCGCTGAGTTGCCAGTGGCGGCGGAAATATTGGCATGGGTGACTTCGTCATCTGCACTATGTCACTATGTGGACTTACACGTTGAGGATACGTGCAAAGGAAGGAGGCCGCTGAACATCACCAGTGCCTGGAAGCGGATCATATCATTCCGGGCTGAGACTTACAGAACGTACCATGCTCAGCTCGGGGCGCAAAGCCGGCATGCTGGAAGAGCCCCAGCCTGTGGCGCAGACCAGATCGTCGACTCCAACATACATTGGGCTTGTACCGGCGTCCGGTTCTAGCTCCACTCCACGCGCTATCTTTGTGTCGGTGCCTGGACGGTTGTTGCTGCATGCAGGCGCGCAAACTCTTGGCAGCTTGTCACCTGGCTGAAAACCACATCGCCCAGTACAACCTCTCCTATTGTCCAACATGATGCCATGCACATGTGCAGAGCATATCCCCTTGAGCGGCTAGCTCCTGCCGAAGTCGCTGGCCCCTCTCATTGATGCAATGGTCGCTGACATCTGAAGTGCCTGGACGAGCTCAAGATCACCATCTAGTCAGCGTTGGAATGTGATCTGTTGTCGAGCTGCGCCCGCAGTTTTGCGGGAACGCAAACTGCTGTCCAAATTCGCAGTGTTCAAAGGGACCTGAGACGAGGGTCATAGGTATGTACATACACATGTGTCTTACATATGAGTATATATATATATATATATATTATGTGTATTTTTCTTGTGATATATATTTAGCTATTACTCATAATTCGTTTTTATCTATATCAATCTGTGCGCGTCAAGTTCGTGAAAGTCGAAAACTTGGATCCTTGCGCTTCCCACAGGGAGAGAGCTGCTCATGTGCACGTTCACTGGTCGACCGCAGTCGTGCTTCGACATCCTTCGCACAGGCTGCGAAGTATTAGCAGACTCGTCTACAACCTCACAATGACTTGCCGGCATAAGAGAAGGGACCCGCTGGGCTGTTGTCTTCCGTCCAAGTAAGACGTTCCTGGCCACGAAAAGTTCACTTCTCGTCGCCAAACCATTGCTGTGACTGAGTGAAGGCCTCGCTGCAGAAACTGAGACTGACACCAAGATCATCTCGTCCGACATGGAAGGAGTTCCTGAAAAGAACCCGTTTTTCGACAGTACGAGCAGAGCAAAATCCGAGTTTGGGGCTTCAGAATTCGCCATGGCTGGCGTTGTGAGTCCTTGCTCGCCGAGGCCAGATCCTCCACGGAAAGATCCAACGAATGCGCGTCACTGCGGACGAATTCTCAGCATTCGAAAAGACTCCAAGTCAGACATCACCTTGTAGTTTGGGAGCGGTATGCGCTCATTCAGCGGGTGGAACGGATGCTCCTCGGCCCCGACATTCTGCGAGCATGCTTCGGAGGTGGGCAAATGCAGAAAGCTTAGCTTCGAACCCATGTTTCCCTGTTTATGACCTGCAAAATCGAAGCAGCTTCGAACTGAACGGATGTTGATGAACTTGTGACTGCATGCCTGCCTCTCGCCAATACTGAGCTCGCTGTGGTGGGCTGTGGTAGAAAACTGTGAAATCAACGGATCCAACCTGATGGCAATTGGTCTGCTATGTGCGTAATGAAATAACAGTGCACCGACACATAGCTCAGGGATCGGCACGTGCCATTCCAGCTTCTCGACGCAACAAAGCCCGCTAAGAAATCCGATCTCCACATGGAAAAGTTCTATGGATGTTTTACCCATCTGGCTGATGCCCTGATAGGGGAAACGCGGCCGAAGTCTTTAAACCGTCTCGCCTTGCTCAGTCATGCATGGCTGATTGAACCACTCACCACGCACAAGGTTGATGTTGCATGGGACGATCCTTGAAACAAGAACGCGTGGTTTCCTGTAATGCAGAAGACCAGGTTCTACATGTTGGATTACCACGCGCCTAGTTCCCCTGTCACCACGATCTACAGCACACGATCTACAGCACTGCTGCTGGGCAAAAGCTGCTCTTGTGGGTGAGGCTCGGTGCTGACGCAGGCAGCAGTCCTCTCGCTGCTGGACACCGTGGCCAGACAGCTGAAAATCAAGATTATTAGAAGCTAACAGTAAGACTGTTTTGAACTGAATCAGAATTGGTGCC